TGTCCAATAAATAACAGCTTTGGATTTATTTTTTGTTTTGTTTTTGTTTTTAACTATATCAATAGTTTTGTTGAGTTTTCTCGAATTGTGTTGCTAATACTCATTGACTAATGCTAGGCGGAAGAAATACAGGCTGATAAAGTTGACGGACCAGCTCCGCACTTCACCAATGTCTTTGGTCCATCTAAAGTGCGTAGTACTTCCCCGTCCAGCGTAAAGTGCTGGAAGACTATGTATCAAGTGTTGGATTTATACTCGTCTTTGCCACGAGAACCCAAAGGGAAATCTGGCTTTAAGAAAGCTGGAACGCCTGGTTCAGGCCGCGGTAGGTATTGTAGAAGCAAAGTCTAGAAAATCACATTCGCGTTATTTTGCTGGTAATATCTCCCCGTGGAGATTCATAAAAGGAACTCTCCAGTTGACAGTTGTGTTAGCCTTCTCTTTTGGCTAATCTAAGCCCCACTTATATACCAAGAGAGAATTAGGTTTTAAGAGAATCCCTCCATCCGGTTTCTTGCACCCGTCATGAGAACGTTTCATTCTATTTTTAACTCGTGATTTGGTCCATGGATAAATTCTCTTAGTTCGTTCTCTGTTGCGACTTAACTAAAGTATTTCAACTCATTCCGTCTGTTTTAGACTTTTTTTTCCTTTTTTCCGTTTATTATATACATACATATGTGGATAATTTTTAACCATATATTCTATTGTGCAAATTTTCATCGTTTTTGATTTCTTTTCGTGAATATCCAGATATGGTCATCGATTTCGGTGATTTCATGCACACGAAACGCACAAAAAACGTACCAAATGTATTAATTAGGTCTACACCAATTGACTATTTGGTTCGACGCGACGATAGCACGACGTATGAACCGGGCCTAAGACATGCGCCATCTTGATCCTTTCATCAGTACCATGATGCATTTGGTCTAGTACAACTGACGTCATAGAGTGGGAGGGCAAAGATGTTTGTCAATTTACTGATCACAAGTCACACTGAGTTAAGATTTCTTTCCTTTTTATAGCAATTGATTCGCCATTGCGTTTAAAGGAAGTCAAGATCGACATGGAAGACGGCCCACAGACATTCAGTCCCGCGCGGCGTCAAGATGACCACCGGCCATTGATTGATACCTATTCTATAGTAGGTGTGGTGACTTTGCCAAGTGCTCGTCTATTGGCATCCATAGGTGATCTACGTCAAGAGATAGACATAAAAGATGTCAGTTTTGTGCTAACCAAAACTGAGGAAAAAGGTGCCGATGAAACAGGTACCGCCGTAGACATTGTGGATGTATGTCCTCGCTCCTTGCTCGCGTATTAGCAAGTGGCATTTTTCTGTTGTAATATTGGACTTGTTTTAAAAACTCTTTGAGATGTTCTTTTTGACGGTAATTGCATGTATTTTATCATATTGTCTTATGGAGGTCATATTTAAGCTTGAGTTGCTACTTTCCGAATTGAATTGAGGGTCCGCATGAACTGATCGAGTAAAAATCGCCATAAATATTTGTGCACTAAAGACCCACGTACATCCAAGAACCTCTGCGCGATTTTCTCCTTTTTAACCAATCAGAAAGCTGCTTTTAACAACAGATATTTAATAGCATTCGCAAAGGTTTTCGGATGCAAGTAGGTCTGTTACGTGAGGAATCTGTTGTTGGATTGTTATTTTATTAAGAGTTTATTTCTTTCAGATCGTCATTCAGGATCCATTTCTTTTCACGTTGGCAATGTCAATTGTGTTCTCTTGGAAAAAGTGAAGCAAAATCACGGGTAAAGAACTCAAATTCACAATTTCATGCTACAAAAATCAGTACATATCTCAAATTCTTCATCTTCAAATTGAGAGAATGAATTTGTCCTTTTGTATGTTCACTGGAAACTGGCATCTTTACTATTCTCCAATAGCGAAGTGATTTTATATTTAAAATATACTTGAATTCTTTTGTTACAACTGATGTGTCAGCAGTTTTTAATGTGTAGTTCTAATTGTGCCTGATTATTGATAAATTAATTGTTGAGTAATTAATGCCACGTTGTTCTGTTCATAGCATGGTTGTCTCAGTCCTCATGTCCCGATCGCATGCTGTCTACTCGTACCAGTCCCATGCCAGTGCAGAAAAGAACGTTGCCTTTGTTTCCGTTGGTGTTATCGACGTTGAAATCCCCCAACATCCTGTAGCACTCCACACTATGATGACCCGCAGCTCTCGAACTATTTCAAGACAAATTACTGATATACAAAGTCAGAGGTCTATAGTAAGGTTTGTGTAATTGTAACTATTGGCAATAATCATTCAAGTTAAATTAAAAATAATAATAATTATAATAATAATAATAAACTTTATTCTCCGTTCAAAATAAAATTCAAAAATAATTTTACAATTATAAGTTCACTATTAAATTTCATTGGTAAATTGCGTTAATTTAAAATTATTTTGATTAGGGTTTTTTCCCTTTTCTTTTCCCTTTTGTCTTTCTTTCTTTTGTTCTTTTCTTCGTTTTGTTTTATTACCGATTCCGGTTACATTTTTGCTTAGTTTTCGTCTTCTTTTCTTTCGTTTCCTACGAAAATATGTTATAGAAAAAATGTGGCTTATGAAACAAAATAAATGTTTTTTTTCTCACTCACAAATATTCTAGGTGCATGGGTGTGACCGACACAACCTCACCTCCTAGCTACACTAAAAGACTGTCAGGAGTGCCTGCAGAATTTGTAAAACAACATTTAGTTGGGTCACCAACCGGTGCAAAAGTGTTTGCCGACAGTGTTGATGGACTGAAACCAGATATCATCCCTGTTAAATGTGATATTGTACTCAAAGGGTTCTGCCTTAGTGCGTCTCTACTTCCCTCATTGAGAGCTGGTTACAAGGTTTGTTATTCTCATGTCATATGCATTGCAGTTTATTGCATATATGCAGCTTTGTCGCATTGTTTTCTTTCGATTTCTTTGCTTTCTCTACCGCAAATCCCATCTACCAGTATTTTTTTCCAGTACGTTTGAGTTAAATTTGTGTGCAGAAAAGTTTGAATATTTTATTGAATATTTTTGGTTCCTTATCAGCCGAATATTTATTTCTGAATTTGCTATTACATCTTTGGTGTCCACCTATTTTTTGATACAAATCTAATATTGCAATATATAAATTAAACCCGCTTTGTTCAGATTGGTAGGATTTCTGCAACCACTAATACTGGATCGTGTAGTAAGTTCAAGGCTACTATGCCATCACACAGCCTTATGTTTTCGTCAAAGGTAAGCTTAGTACACCTTACTAAAAATACATGACATTTTTGACATACTATAAATGATATTCCCTAAAGTAGACTTTCTTTATTCTATTAAAATGAGAGTTTCCAATTTATTTATTCTTTTGATTGTTTTGTGATATTTTTATAAACCTTTTTAATAAACAGGTGCAGACATTTGAATCGAACGTGCCTTCTTCTGCAATGGTTGATCTTCCTCCWGTCAAAGTATCAGGAGAATTCTTAGCGGGTAAAATCACTCGTCCTAGGTCAGGCCATAGAGGCCAACGTGCTCATTTGTACGTTAATGCTGAGATTGGGGCCTTTCAACATTGCTTAACGACAGACCTGCTTAATCATCTGGTCTTTGTACAGAAGAGTTTTATGAAGGTAAGATTTTATTTGTTCTATTATAATCAATTTTACTATAAAAATATTTTAACTCTGAAATTGTATTTGATTCACTGTAAAGGACTCTTTCTTCTTCTTTCATTGTCCTATTGTTCGTAGAAAAAAATCTTATACAGTCTTGATTACTGTATCAATAATTATAGTAATTTTAGAGAAAACGTGCGGCCGATTCCCATATTGGCTTACATAAAGCAGCCTAAGCGTCTTGCTTTTCCGTCTTCTCTGTCTTGGCGCGTACTTAATCATTTGGGAGCGGTCGAATGTTGGAAAAGTAGCTTCAATTTCTTCTAGCAGTTTTTTTTCTTCTATCTAAAGGTTACAATGTAGTTGTTTATTGTATTTTCGAGGCTTTAAAATCATATTCAGATATCAAATGCCAAATTTGGAAAAAAACTGCAAAGTGATGCTCACGACTGTTGATCTGATCATAGAAGACTCGTCGCCGAGCTAGTATCCAAATTGTTGTACATTTCATTACATATGCCAAAAACGTATTTGTGGGATTTTTCTCCYTTGGGGTTTAAAGCCACGTTTGACTYCTCCCATTAAGCCACCCCCCGATCCTTACCCTCCAAACAACACGTAAAAAAAATAAGATTAAATAAGTTGTTATAGATATTCGAAAAGGCTTCTAATCTGTAACCGTGTGATAATTACAATTGTCAGTTAACAGACTGTTTTAAGTATTACTCACGAACTATTTTTAAAATGTCTTTTTAATCATTCAAATGACTTAGAGTTTCGTTCACTGTTCAGTTCACCTGTAGCTTTGCTCTCTGCATTCTCTTTTTTGTTCGTGTTTTTTTGCACAAATGCTAGCGTAGTCCACCAACCTGTCTGCGGTCTTGATGAGGTATTAATGTCGAACTCTCTAATTCTCAACGGTGCAACTGTACTGAACGCCTCACAATTTCTAGCTTGTGTATCTTCTGACTCACTTAACATCATCGCTATTGTTCTTGATTATCCAGTATGCTTATTTTGTACTGTTGGGGTTCAAACATTGTCCCGCAAGTTGCAACCCAACTTTAGAACACGTCACCATTCAGTAGAAATCGTGACTTCCAACCAGTGAGGAAAACTCAAACTTAGGATTAAAGCCTTCTCAAAATAGTTRAGGAAATTTTAGATTAAACATCTTCCAAAAAGAGCTTCAGTTTCTGGTTTCTGGTCAACGGAGGGGGTTTGGAGCGTGGTTTGAGAGAGCACAGGGGTAAGTTACATTTGTCCTCTAAAATTACCAGCACTCCTTTTATAATCGTTGCCCAAGATTCGCTAGCATTTGGAGTTGTTAGCTGATCTCCACATTCCTCCAACAACGTGAAGAGCTCAGTGACATTGCTTATGCTGTCGTTGGAGAACGTATCGATGCACGATAAAATCAAAATGTACAAACCAACAACAATTACATTGACTACTAATGGAAAGTCTCTCTTCAAGCCAGATACCTCTTTGTACAAGAATTCGTCTCGATGAAATCTTTCTTTCATRCAGACGGRAAAGGATATRAGGATATATCTTTCCACACAGTTTGTCTTCACAGCCTTGATGATTATTGGTGTAATGTCACAAAGAACTGCAAGTGCCTGGCCACTGTCTCCTTCCAGATAGTAGAACAACGCCAGCTGAATGATTCCAGATAATCCCTCGTCATCAAAGCCACAAGGGTATGTAAGTCTTAGAGAATCCATGTACAGACGTTCAGCTCTTCTTTTTGAATCTCTTGTTACTTGTGAATGGTAGAAATCAGCAATTTGTCTGCATATCATTACGTGAAATGCGTCAGTCATATCMGGGGAAACYAGTTCTGGAAGYCTTGTCAAAATGTCCTCCAAGGCTTTACATTGTGTTCTGTTCCACACAGTCATCATCACTRTAAGAGAAGATAAGATATTTGCCTCGTTTACCAAAAGAGTTTCAGAAAATGACACAGTACTTTGACAGTACTGTCGTACTACTGAGCACAATTTTCGACATGACTTCCCGGAAATGTGTCGTGGAATAGAGTCTACCACTTGGTAGACGATATCCAACTCTTCTTCGCACAGCAGTTCTGCTATAATCACTTTCAAACGACCAGAAGA